AGTAGCTTGATCACATTCGGAATTTCTTCTTTCGTTGGAGGAGTGGTGCCCATTGGCATTTCAGTGTGTGCTGTTGGTGGTATTTCTAGGCGGGTTACTGGTGGTGGTCGATTCAAAATTCCTTTAAAGTGATCAGCCCATTGTTTTATTTGCTTCTCTCCACTTGCTATCAAGTTCCTCTGAACATCTTTTATTTGTTGCATCATGTGAGTTGATCTCTTCCTGGATAGAGACCTGGTTATCTGATGCAATGTGCTAAGATCCATTTTACCTGTGGCCTAACTTTTCTGGTTCAGTTTTCAGCCAGTGTGTCGAAATATTTATTTTTGTCTCTCCCCGCACTCTTCTTCACTTCTTTATTCAGTGCAGTGTACACTGAACTCAGCTTCTCCTCCTGTTGCCCATAGTCGTATTGAATCAACTTCTCCTTCACCATCTTCCTCCCCAGGTTTAGATCCAGGCATCCGGAGAGAGCCCTTCCGTTTCGTGTCCCTTCTTTCTTCCTAGGACAGTTGTACACGTTTCCTTGAACACCACTTTTATAGAGTTGGTTCCAGTGTACTTTCACACAGGTTTACTCAGTGATGTCACGTAGTGTGTCCGACTTTGCTCTGATCTGATCTGTGGCGAAGGCATCCTGTGTAGTTTTGTCCTTCAGTTTCTGAATGTCGAACTTGAATTACAGTGGCACGTCCCCACTTGTTTTCACGGATTTCAGCTTCACCTTGAAAATTCCTAGAGCCAGATGATGGTCTGAGCCCACTTCTGCTACCCTTCTCGACTTTGAGTCCAACAGGTTAACTGCGTCTCCATTTCCTTGAGATTGATATGGAATCTACCTGCTTTGTGGTTTGTCCATCAGACGAATCCATGTTGCTTTGTATATATGCCATATCTTCTCATTTCTTTGGCTTTCTTGACAGCCTTTCCGGCCTCGTACATTACACGAACATTCCACGTATCCATTCTTATTCTTGTTCTCATCGAAAGAGGACACATTGTTCGACTTGTTTCTCAAAGGCTTTTATTAGCCCGTCGCGTCAATTTTCCTCTCTGGTTCCAGCAAACAATAGATTTTTTTCAAATATTTTTCGTATGTTTGGTGGTTTCCTCGCGCGTTGAAACTTCTCTAGCAGTTAGGTAGGTTTTTTGGAATAGGGATCCTGGCCCACTCTTAACCCTCCCTCTTTACCCGGGCTTGTGGCGGTCTAGTAAACTAGCGAGCTAGTAAGTTGGGCGAGTTTGGCTGATGCATGAAGAGGGAATCCCAAAGAACTTCACTTTACAGAAGAGGCATCCGACTTCACTGCATAGCTGAAATAAGCGTTGGAGAAAGCCTCAACCCTAAAATATCCTAATCCAGATGCTCCTCTTGCATTAAGGGTAAATGCAACACACAGGTCTGTGGGAGCAGCTCCAAACTATCTGGTAGTAAGTAACAGAGACCCAATAGCATTCACCTCTAAACGGTATAATCCTGCAGAAACGGAGCGTTCCACTATTGGTAGGGAATTGCCAGCAATCTTTTAGGTGGTTAAACACTTTCTCCATGTAGTGGAAACCAGACCATTCGTGATTCAATCAGATAACAATCCTCTCACATACTCGCTCAATGCGAAAAAGACAAATGCTCACCACGCGAAATTCTTCACCTTGATTTTATATCACAGTTTACCAGTGAAAGAAAACAAGTGAAGGGGGTGAACAACTGTGTGGCTGATGCGCTGCCCAGAATGCACGTAGGTACAGCGTAACAAACCACTGTAGACTTCTACGTACTGGCCAAAAACCGAAAGGACGACGAATAGTTGTTGTATATCCTCACTGCAAATAAATCTGCTCTCAGACTTAGGCAGTTGATATCTCCCATAGATGGCAACTTCAAATACTGCCATACAACGAAATATTTACCCGCGGTCTTCGTGCCTAAACTTATGAAAGAAGTTATGTTTGGTAATTTTCACTCGTTAACACATCCTGGTGCAAAGGCTCCAGCTAAGATATATATGACCAGACCTACAGCACGAGGGAGTGCATAACAAGTCAGATGGCAAAAGTGAGCAGACACGCAACGTCACCCATATAACCATTCCTGCAGCTGGATACTAGTTTCGCTCATGTCCACGTAGTCTAGGTAGGTCCCCCTTTGTAGTCGAACGGATTCATTTACTTGTGTACATGCGTCGATAGTTTCACGAGGTTTGTGATGGCTGCACCATTTACTGGATTTACTGCGAAAACGATAGCGAGAGCCCTTCCTTAAAACTGGGCAGCCATATACAATGTGTATATGACAATAAAAACCGACAGAGGAGCTCAATTTGAGTCAGTACTTTTCAACAACACCTGGAATTTCCTTGGGTTACATATAACCCACTGCGGAGCATATCACCCTCAAGTAAACGGGTTAATGGAACGCCTTCATAGACAGCTAAAGGCTGCACCATCATCTCACTCTAATCCCACTCACTGGACACAATTCCTGCCAATGATAATGCTTGGTATACGAAGGTCAATGAAAGCTGATGGCAAATATTTCACTGCCGAAATGGTATCCAGAAGCACACTGAGACTACCTGGAGAATTTACTAGTGCTAGTGTGAACAACCTTGCCCAGGCTACATATTTTGACGGACTTCGTCAACAAATGGCCAACTTAAGGCCGATTACCTCATGAGAGCAATTAAGTGCAACATACATATCAATGAACTTGGATTCCTACTCCCATGTATAGGTGTGATGTGAAAAAACACAACCACTCTTCCGTCCAACATACGAAGGAAACTTCAAGGTTACGACAAGGCACCCAAAACACCTTGTTATTGAACGATTTAATTTCGCAGATAGTTTTGGCACTGACAGCCTAAAACAGGCCTATCTAGATAACTACCCTCCCTACCTAGTAAAAGATAGACGGCGCGAATACCAACGCAAAACCAAATAAGACTGTCAAACAAGTTTAATGGGCTGACCCCCTAACTTGTGAAAAATTTCTGGCAAAGCTATGGTACGATTAAGTGACAGACTATATACCTAAATCAATTTGCTTACGAGAATACCGAGGTGATATGTGAACTGTTTAGCAAGCACTTTGACAGGCTATACACCTTAGAGAACGATGAAGTCGTGGATTTCCAACGTAAAACAGACGAATGTCGAAGTGATAAACTTCTCACCACACAAGAGATGAATGAAGCTGTCACAAATCTTACGCCTAGTAACAACCCTGTTCCAGACGGCATATCTTCCGTTCTGCTGAAAAACGGTGGTAATGACCTGAATATATTCTTACTCAAGTTAAAATCAATGTCATTGAGCGATGGGACATACCCTAAATGCTGGAGGAAACCTTGTATTGCACCTATCCATAAATGCGAGCCTATAGCTGATATCAACAACTACCGCCCCAACAACATCATGTCTGTAGTTTCACGTGTAATGGAAAAGATAATAAAGACTCAAATCATTCAGTATTGTCAAATGACCTACTATCCCCATCCCAATACGGTTTCTTAAGTGCATTACTTGCCATTTAGATTATTTTGACCACATTACACAATGCATTGATAATGGGCGTTCAGTAACAACATCATTTCTCGACGTTAGCAGGGCCTTCGATAAAGTCCCACATATCAGAAACCTAATAAAACCTCAATCCTACGGAATAACCGGAGAACTTCTCAAATGGATAAATTTTTTTCGCACAGAAAGAGAGCAATTAGTCAAAATCAACCACCGGCTTTCTTCATCAAAGCCGATAACTAGTGGTGTAATACAATGAAGCGCTCTTGGCCTTATTCTATTCCTCTTATTTATAAATGACATAGTCTCTGTGACCAAGTATGGCAAACCATACCTCTTTGCAGATGATCTCAAGATAGTATGTGATTATGGGTACGCTGATATGAGCGTCGAAAGCAAAATCCAACATGACTTAAACAATCCAGGCGATTGGAGAGAAAAGTGGCCACTGACTTTCAACCCAGATAAGTGCGGCATAGCTCACCCTGGGCGCTGGAAACCGAAAATGTGCCTGTATATGTACGGTAAGCTCCTCTAAAAACTGAATAGTCACAGATCTCGGGATAACATACTCAGGTTTGAAATTTTCCTATCATGCAAATTAGGTTGCATCTGACTGTAAACGACTAACTGACTTTGTACTGCGTAAATTTTACACCCAAGAAGCAAGATTAGCTATATATAAGACATTTATCCGCCGCAAACTTGAATATTGTGCTCTCCTATTTCGTAATCTAAAGTCTGCAAACCGAAGAAAAGTTGAAAGTGTCCAGAGATTCCCCACAAAACGCATAATACGGTTTGACCAACAAGTGGAATATGTAGACAGGAGTATAGAACTGTAAGCAGGACCCTTATGGTTAAGCAGAGTTAAGTGCAACTTGTTTCTACTCTTTAGGGTCATTAGGAAACATTGTTATAATAACTGATCTATAACGTGGGCAAATATTAAATCATATCAGCTGCGAAAACACGAGTATCTTGTCAAGGTGGTTATCCACAGAAAAACCACTAGGGCAGGGAAAATCCGGTCAAAATCTACTTCAAATCATTCGAAATACAGGACTGACTGAAAACGGCCTATCCCTTTAGAGTCCCATGCACAAATCAGAGGTAGACCACTGAATTCGTCGTTTTACTTCTTTACATTCTGTCCCGTCTTACTCTCCTGATAACTCTAACTACACTTATTACTATTGTTACTAATATTATATACAATCAACATCAGATTTAAATGGCTGTCTGTTTTTAAGTTTTCTTTTTCTGTCTTTTAGTCTGAATAACTTAAACTAATTATATCTATTATTGTCTCTTTTCTTTTGAAGACGATACCGGAGGACGAACTGGTGAAAGGATCAGCTCCATTCACAGTAGTAACAGTTTTAACACACTTCATACTGCAAACAAAATATAACTGATCCCAGCACTACTAGTTTTGGAGTCAACCAAAGATACAACAGTCGATTGGCGGGATATGAGCTTCGCGGCAGTTTACCGAACTCCCAGAAGAAGTGGCGTCTGAAACCTCAACTGATTCAATCAATAAGGGTTTGGACAAGCACAGAAATTTACTAGAAAAGGATTAACATAGTCTCCAGGACTTTTATCCTAAACCAATACATCTGAATCTGAAATTGGAATGCACACAATTTGAATTTGGACGGCACACTTGTTGACGGGAGCTTATTGTGGTAGGTTTGATGTGGGGTCTCGCCTCACTTTAAAAATAAATGCAAACTGAATTGGGAATACATAAAAAAGTGATTATTTTATCTTTCGACAGTATAAGCGAATGAACTACAGTCAGTTTGTTTGAGTGAAAATGCTGGTCTTTGGTGTATTTCTGTACCCTTATGTCATTACCCAGTCTTGAAATAATCCTTAATTATTTCGTTTACTTTTGGATAGCTTAATATCTTAGATGCTCAAGTAAAGGTATCCTTTTAAATGATGAATTTCGCGAAAATCGTAAAATCACCAGTTTATATATTACTTCTGTTCTGAAGGGTGATTTCTATTACAATTTCGAGTTTCTTTTGAGCCGTATGCATATGTAAAAAGTTTAGGGGTGCTTAGAAAAAATTAGAAAGTTTTTTGGGGGGAAATTAAGGTTTTTTGGGAAGTTTGCGAACTTCTCAATGCGGAGGTGGGGTAATTTTGGGTTTCCTTTAGAGGAAATGTTATTTTTCCTTCAGATATCTACATCTGCTCTCCTCGCAGAAGTTCCTTGGAAGATATGGGGGTTTTTTCCATACGGGAGAATTGTGGGGATGATTTCAAAAATTAGAGAAATGTGGTTTTTGTTACGTTTCGTCTATTTTTATTTTACTTATTGGCAGTTCAAAACAAATAGAGGAAACACTTTGGTTTCACCCAGGACACTGCAGCGGGGTTTCCCTCGAAAATATTTTTTGTGAGTTTGTATCTGCAGTGTTCCTATTATTTAAGGTTGTCAGTTTCTGCAGTCATGCGGGAATAACCCTGGCAGATGTGTAAATGATCTCTTGGTGAAAGCGAATATAGCGAAAATGCCGTTTGGATGAAGTCCGTAGCTCAAGTACATCCGGAAAGTGACTCATCATATTGTACCATCAAACACGAGGTTAGAAGGGAGCACGTATGTTGAAAAACCGCTGATATCGTCGTACTTACCACTTTCACTGGCCTTCTGACAACCACAAAATACGAAGTAAACAGCACACACCGCTAATGGACAATTGGATGTCACACAAACACTAAGGGTGATGCAAGCTGCCGAATGACAAACGGCTGTTTTGTACCTGTGCAGCGATTTCTCTGGTAGTTAACCCGTTTGATCTTTACAACTACACAAATAAGTGGAGTGGCCAACATATCCACGTATTTCACTGCCTATTCTTAAAATAGGAGTGCGTACAGGTCGGTCCCACAGCACCATCTAATGTTTGATGGGTGAGAATCACATGCCAAACATAGATGTACAGAAGACTGCATTTTGACTTTGTTCACTTAGGAGGATTATATTATCTGCATACTTTAATTGGGTGAGACTGTTCCGTGGTAGCAAGGCGATCCCCAAGTCACGGAAATTGATCAGTCACGTCTGTTAGTACATCTTTGATGAAATTGAAGGAAATTGGCAACATTGGCCAACATCCCAACGGACATCACTGGTTGTCATTACTTCAGGTAACGATTTTCAGCAAGCTTTTGCATGTTTGTGTGAGTTCGAATAGAGTGCCTCGATTAGTACGACATACTCTCTGGGCACTTTTTATGGCCATACACTGCAAATGCACCTCTTGATTGGCGAAGTCAACTGGTGCCTTCACGACAAGAAATGTGGTAAATATTAAACGCTGATAGCCCGTTGAGGTATTAGATTATCTTTTGCGTACGTTTGCTCGCCTCAGCGTTTTGCGTGTGTGGGGAGTCACTAAATTATCTAACATCCAAGTGGCTACTAAAACGCAGTGCATAAAACCTCTATGCTGTATGATTGAGAACCGGTGACAGTGGTACAGATGTGCTCACACTTTATGTTCATCTTCTTATGTGTATTAACTCAATGAAGTTGCAGAAATCCGTATTATTTAATGACCACAACAGCCGCATGTATTGTTACAAAGAAGTCTTTTCTACCTCTCTGTGCTAGTACAAGAAGAGACTTGCAAATATCATTGACGACATCTGTATTACTTCACTTTAACTGCATATTATACCTAATTGCTTGTACAATGAGAATACCCTTAATAATGACCAACTCTTTTTGTCATCGGTCATGTTTAAAATGATTTTGCAATACCACCAACAGGTATTGTGTTGTGAACATAAACGAAACATTTATTTTTGTTTTTTTTTTCATTTTTGTAGCTTTAGGATACACGAGATTTCCAGTTGGACATTGCTTCTTGTCAACGTGCATGCCATTTTTTCTTTTTACACCTAAACTAACTTGGACCCGTTCAGTTTTATCGGTTATGGGAGATCAGTTGATTTCAAGTTGAAACTACTTTCTCTTTTTTCTGAAATCAAAACCCGATGTTAAGTGCTAAACTACGACGTAAGTTGATGAGATCGTTTTCTGTACAACAACAACAACAACAACAATAACCTTTGATTGATAGTTCTACGTGGCTTGGCTCCTGTTAGCTTTGATGATTCAATCCTTTACTGTTCTACTCTACCGAATAATAATAAATGTGAAGCATCAAAAAGTGCTCAGCCAAGTTATGTTAACTTGGGAAAATCTTTCCCTCAACATTTCCAACAGGTAAATTGATTTGTTTTTTAAAACTTAAATATTTACAACAATAGTCTCAGTTACATGAAGTGTATCTGCCTACATTTTCATCGACTGTTGGAAAATCAGCTGTAAATCATTTTGTTACATCGAATGGTCCTACAGTTGTGAGTAATCCTACTAATAAGTGTGTAGAGAAGAAAAATCAAAGTTGTCAAACTGAATCACTAGAATCTGAAGTATGTATTGAAAGTCTTTCAACGACTATATCACAAATTTTTCACAAATTGAACCGTGTAAGTATACTTTTAGTCTAATTGAATATATATATATATATATATATATATATATATATATATATATATATCAAGTTTTCTTTGTACTATAGCTTTATATGTAAAACAGTGTGGAAGTCAGAGCTTCGCATAAAGATTAACAAGTCATCGTTATGTCTAGATCTATCACGTGGATGTTTTGCAGTTTGTTTCGTGATTTATTTTTATTATTTCCTTTAATTCCTAGAGGAATATAGGGCTTCAGCCGCGCGTCTTCATTGTGTTCGGTTCTCTGCTAGGGTTTTCACCTGGCTCCAAGTCTGCCCACATGCTTTCATCTTCTCTTCACATGACCTCCTCCAAGTCACCCTTGCACTGACGACCAACTCTGCCGCTTCCCTTTCGGGTTCCACTCGAGCGATGGCTTGTCTAGTGATGTCACTTGATGGTTTCCTCAGAGTATGGCCAATCCATCTCCATTTCTTCCTGCTTATTTGTTGCACAATCGGTTCCTGCTGCGTTGGTTCGCTCCTACACGTCCCTATTGCAGATCTTTTCTGGCCATCAGATCTTGAGTATTGAGCGAGAACAGCTGTTAATGAAGGTCTGTAGTTTGTTTGAGTTGCTCTTCAAGACGCGCCAAGTCTCTGATCCGCATAGTAGCACTGACTTCACATTGGAGTTGAAAATCAGGACCTTATTTTTCATGCTGAGTAGTGCTGTTGACCTCTACACAGACTTGAGAGTAGTGAAAGCTTGTCCTGCTTTTCTGATCCTTACTTTGATATCCTCATGAGTTCCGTCCGCCTGTAGTTGAAACGATGCTTCCCAGGTAGGTAAAAGAGGTTGTTTCTTTCAGGTTCCTTCCATTTATGCTGATTGTTGTTTATTGTTTTTGCAGTTGGCCAGGAATCTTCATCACCTCTGTTTTCTCTATGTTACCTGAAGTGAAGTCCTATCTTTGATGCTTCTTCTGCCAACTTGTTGCTTTTCGCTTGGCATATCTTCGCGTTTGTGGGAAATCAGAGGTATATCATCGGCGAAGTCCAGATCCTCCAAGTTTTTTGTGTGAGTCCATTTTATGCCTGTCTCCTCGTTGCCCAGCCGGCTGTCTGTCTGTCGCTTTATCCAGTCTACTGCAATCAGGAAAATCATTGGCGATAGCAGGCAGCCTTGTCCTACTCCCCTCTTTACTTCTAAGGATGCCGTAAGTTTCCCGTTGTGGATTACTTGGCATGCAGCATTGTCGTACAACTGTTGCAGATGAGATGCATAATTGTCGGTGGCACCCCGTAGTAGCGAAGGAGTTGCCAAAGCACCTCTCGATCGACGCTGTCGAAGACCACTCTATTACTGTTTATTAATAACATTGCTTCTTCATACAGATTTTATATAAAAACACTATCGCCTTTCCACTAGTTCCTGTTCATTCTACACAAGCTTATTAATTAGTCATTATCTCACACTTATTACGTCATCCTAACTTCCGCCGCTTTTTTAACTTACAACTGGTCATCCTTTCTTACACCTTGCATTATCTAATACATTTTTCAAGGACAAAGTTTACCACTGTCTGATTGGTCTAAAGATTTCTTTGTTCAATATAATTACGATTGTACAGAAGCATCTGTTGAAAATGAATCGTCGAATCGAAAAGAGAATTTTCTTCTTCGCTGTTTGTGCCTTTTTCTTATGGCTCAATATGGGGGGTAATATTTCGTTCAATTAGATTTTTGTATATTTTTGTATACAACGGTAATCTATTTTCTGTAATTGACACCTCTATGTGCGTCGGTGGCACAGTGGTTAGGACTCTCGCCGACCATGCACATGGTCCGGGGTTCGACCCCCTGCCGACGCACACCTGATATCTATGGTCGGCCTGCAAAATTTGGGCTGCCGATATCCATGCTGAAAATTCCATACTTGTACTGAAAATACGGTGTGGCATCAAGCTGTAATCAAAAATAAAAATAAATAAATGTCTATGTGTTTGTTTTCCTAAGCTGTTTATTTTCTTTTTTCTTTTGAAAATTCTTCACAGCATGAACTGAAAAACATGTCGAATTGTGAACGAACACAATTTCCTAAATTATGGTTAGATTTAAGCGAGCTGAACTACTCACCAGCTCAGTATAATCTAGGCGTTTGGTATGAAATACAAGCATCAAAGTGTCTACCATTGCATGACAATTTAAAACGACATTATACTAATCAAGCAAGTTATTGGTATAGGTGTGCAGTGAGAAAAGATTCTCATCCATTGGCTGCGTATAATTTAGCCTGTTTAATGCTAAATTCACACCAATCGGCTTTTATTACTATTGACTGTACAGATAAACGGAAGGGGGAGGAGCAGGAGGAGGAGAAGGAGGACTACACGGTTATCGATCTAATGAAACTTGCTGCTGATGGTAATGTGAAACAGGTGAGTATAGTAATTCTGTTGTTTGTTTGTCTGTAATTTTCTTGAAGATTTTGAATTGTGTTTAAATTTTAATCGATAGCTCCAGTATATTTTTCCCCTGGCAGGTTTCAGTAGTTACTCACATTTGACGACTGATTGCTCACTGACTGACTTACTGACTGTATAGAAGTGCAGCGCTCAACCTGCCGAACATTCAACACCTCCCTGAATGGGATATAAACACAGGTCCTCCGTCCACCCTAACTGAGGTTACTAAGGCTGTCACTAGTCTGAGACAAGGCGAAGCAGCAGGACCTGATGGAATGACTTTAGGGGTATTTAAATATGGTGGAGACAGTTTACTGTCTGCGTTAACTGAGGTACTAGGCAGCGTCTGGGAATCAGAGGAAGTCCCATCGGGTTGGTGTAAGTCTCTGATTATCCCCATCATATACAAGAAGGGAGACAAGTCTTCCTGTGATAGTCACAGAGGGATTAGCTTGACTAATATAGTGTCTAAAGTCCTAGGCTCAATAATATTGCGTAGACTATGTGGTGCTCGGGAGGCACAAACACGAGAGAACCAGGAAGGCTTTAGACCAGGAGGAGGAGGGTGTATTGATCATATCTTCACCCTTCGACAGATTCTGGAAGGGTATATAGGTATTCTTACCGGTGTCCAACAATCGTTGTATTTCTCGACCGAGAGGTTCTCTGGCGATGCTTGGCTGTGAAAGGAATGCCAAGAAAATATATCGTACTGATCAAGGCGCTCTACTCGAACTCATGCAGCCAGGTGAGAGCTTACGGCGAGTTGTCATCTGAAGTGGTGACGACTAGTGGCGTCCGTCAAGGATGCCCACTATCCCCATTTCTATTCAACTTCATCATAGACGTACTAATGGACTTAACCCTAACTCACTTCAGCGACTCAGGGATTGACTTGCTGCCACCAGGGAATAATCTCGTTGACTTAGAATATACAGACGGTATAGTCCTTCTAGGCGAGGACTCTGACAAATGCAGAGTCTCCTGAACATCTAGAGCTGCAATCTACGAATGTTTGGCATGCGATTCACTTCCGCCAAATGTAAGATGATGTTACAGGACTAGACTACACTGACTTCTAGTTTAGAAATAAGGAGTGAAGTGGTTGGTGGAGCGTGTTCACCGCTTCACTTATTTGGGAAGTCGCATCAGCCCATGCCAGTGGGTTGATCTCTGACGAAATCTCAGCACGGATACAGAAGGCTCGTTTCGAAAATGTCAGTTTACGCCGTCTCTGGCGTAGGCGTGATATCTGGCTGGCTGTCGACCAAAGGGCGTATGTACTGCTCAGCAGTCCGCCCCGTCCTCCTTTATGGCTGTGAGTGGCACATGGCCATTGAGATTGGAAGACATGAAAAGATTAGCTGTTTTTGATCATAGGTTTCTGCGTTCTATCTCCCGTGTGAAGTGGTCTAATAAGGTAAGCAATATTAATGTTAGGCATCGGTCGACTGCTAGGTTAGAAGGGGAAATCAATCAACGAGGTTGTGAAATTACATCGACTGAGATGGTTAGAACATGTGTTACGTATGCCTAGTCATCGCCTTCCTCGACAGTCAGGTAGGGCTTCCTACTGATTGCCTTCAATCATCTAAAATCAAAAATTCACAGTGCAGTGTATCGTGACGCGATGACGGTGAGCCATCTAGTGAGTGGAATAGTCGCCAGATTACAAACTTGACTGACTGATAGAATATTCTGTCTCTGTCTGTCTGTCTGGATTCAACATAGAACGTGGCACCGAAGTGCAGCAGTTCGAGTTGCCACATTCCGAATAGCACACAAAGGTAGACAAGAAAATGAGAGTGAAGAGAATCAATAGAGTTTTGACAGGTATAAGAGTGAAACAGAATGAGTAATGGTAGAAAGGAATATGAAAGATTACCCAAGAGACTGAATACATCTGCGTAAGCCATAGACAACGATTTTGAGCCATGTCACCTATTGTCTCCAGCCTTCATTGATTCTTAGAGTCCCGAGGACGGGCCCCAACCCGGAAGTTTGCATCTCCCTACCTGACTTCAGTTTAACTGTCAGGGATTTCATGGATTGATTGATGCCATGCTTTTGTTTGGCCACCGCTTACTCTTTACCAACCTGCACCTATATTGGCTAGTTAATGCCCGTCCGTCGGGGGAGGCGATGGTTAGGCATGGGCAGCACGTGACCTAGCCATCTCAATCTATGTAACTTTATAGCCTCTTCGATTGATTTTCCCTCTTTGCCCAACCAACACTCTACGCCTAACGTCAACATTACTTACCTTATTATGCCACCTAACGTGAGAAAGAGATCGTAGACATCAATGATCAAAGACAGTCGACCTTTTCATGTCTTCAACTCGTACTGGCCAGGTTTCAGAGCCATAGAGAAGGACGGAGCGAGCAGTACAGCTGAGCAGTACACACGTCCCTTAGTTGATAGTCGGATGTCACGCCTGCGCCAGAGATGGTGTAAGTTAGCGAAAGCAGCCCGAGCTTTTTGGATCATCTTGTATAATAATCATATTATGAAAAGTTCAACCATTCCTTTTCTTTTTCTTGTTCTTTTCTCTTGTTTTTTTCTTAGGCGAAGAAATACTTGTCTAAACACACACTGTAATGTTGTAGAGATGCGTAATCCACTCTGAGTAGAGTTATACAACCCTATTACACAACCCCCTTTCAAGTGCAACTCTTATCCTCCCCTGTGTATAATTAGTATAATTGGTTATCATTTTAGCTGACTTGAAGATCATTTTTAGCTCTGATGACCCATTTTCAATCTATCAAGATGCATTTACACATAGTTCCTTCAATAAAATACAAACAAACGGAGCATTTCATGACAAAAAAACACATCCCGGTTGTTTAAAAAACTTAGTTTTGATATGTTTATTATTATTATTATCACTACCGATATATTACTACTTTTGAACTTAAATAAACCTTTATCCCATAAAGTTTTATATTTGTATTATGAATTAATTACATTCTAGGTAACTACTACTGCATTCATGTGATCACCTTCACATTTGATCTAATCTGTGAAACGTGTGTGGATTGTATAAGTCAATGTGGTTGTTGGACTCTTTCCCCTTTTTGATTGATTGATTGGACTGTTGACATTTCGTCTCTTTTTCTATGTGGATGCTTCGTTGATGTCTGATGAATAACCTGAATTAGTCTGGTGAGAATGGTGACTAGCAGTGGAATCCATGGGGATGCGCATTTCCATCCTACTTGGGACTTGTCATCCGGTGGGTGACGCTGCTGGGAGGTCGGGAGAAAGCAGCATATGAAAGTGTGAGGCGAAATACCGACGAATGTGCGACAGGGTCAGGCAAACAGTTTCCAAAGTGGGAAGGACCACATATGGTCACTTTGAGATGGGGTTACGCAGACACAATCGCAATGGTAAACACAGAGAAACAGGTTTCAAAACAAGTTTTCAGCTAATAACACGACGTCGTCGGCGAATTCGAGGTCGGTTATGTGAATATCGGGCGAAAGTTGGACGCCGTGGTGCTCGGTTAGGGCGTGCCGCAAAATCCAATCAATTGTGAAATTGAACAGGATGGGGGATGCTGGACAACCTTGCCGGACACCGCTGGTTACCTCAAAAGTGCGAGACTCTTCACCGTTCACTCGGACTCGAGCTTTGGTGTTGGAGTAGTATGACCTGAGCAGGTTGATTAGCTTGGTCGGAACTCCGTCGAGCTCCATTAGATACAAGAGTGCTCCTCGATCAACTGAGTCGAATGCCGCTCGGAAGTCGATGAAGCAAGCAACCGTTGGCTGTTGGAATTTGTCCCTGTGTTCCAAAATTCTTCGCAGTGTGAATAATTGATCAACACAGCCTCTTCCAGGTCGAAATCCGGCTTGATTTGGCCTTGTTCGCACGTGGCGTTCGGCAGCGAAGCGGTTCAGGAGAATGGAAACAAAAACCTTAGCAGCGATATCCATCAGACTTGTGCCTCGGTAGTTCTCGCATAGTGACCTGTCTCCCTTTTTGTGGAACGGTAGCAGAGCTGAGGTGCTCCAATCGGAAGGAATGGTTTCGGAATCCCAAATTGAGCAGAACAGCGAGTGCAGCGAATCGATTAGCGCTGGAGTGCAGGCCTTGTATATTTCTGGAGGTAGACCATCTTCGCCCGGAGCTTTTTTGTTTCTGAGTCTGTTAATTGTTTTAGCTATTTCGGTTGGAGTGGGTGGATCGCAGTCAACTACGTAGGGTGTTGGTAAGTGTCGTATCGGTCGATGAGACGGTTGACCAGCGTTGCGATTGAGTAGCTGCTTGAAATGTTCGGCCCATCGTTCCATCTTACCATTGGTGTCCGAAATAATTTCCCCTGATGCTGTGCGTAACACAGCATGGCTGTTAAGGCGTTTGCCAGATGATAGGCGTATGAGGCGATAAAGTTTTCCGAAATCGCCTACATTTGATGCTGCTTCCATGTTAGTCGCCACATTAGACCAATAGCGATTTCTGTCATTCCTAGCAGACTGTGTAGCTTTGCGCCTGAGGGAGCGATAAACTGGAGACTTTGCTAGGCGAGCGTCTCTGGCTTGCGAGGATAGATGCATAGTGTGCTCTGAAATCCAGTCATTCTGCTTGTTGGATGTGGTACCCAAATGCGACATTGAAGCTTTAGAGACTACTTCTTTGAAATGATTCCATCGTGTCTCAGGTGTATTAGAAGATGTGGATGTTGGCTCATCTGCGGCGCTTAGTTCGGCCTGGATTTGTTTGGACAAGGCTTGTCGCTTTGTCGAACATTGAGGCGGGGCAACATTGATACGCTTCGGAGGTCGCGCCTTCTGGCGTGTTGTTAAACGAAGTTTGAATTTCGCCCGAACTAGAGTATGGTCTGATCCCCCTTTATTTCCGGCCTCTGCGCCACGATAGGATCGACAGTCCTCCACCGAGGAGATCCAGCGTGAGCGCACTAGGATGTAGTGAATCTGATGTGCAGTGCGACCGTCGTTCGAATA